CCGCTGGGGCCTTTGGTGGAGCTCCCAGTCGGGTTACGAAACGTTTGAGGGGTGTGCGGAAATGGGTGCACCGGGCGCATGCGAACGTAGCATTGGGGCCTTCGGTGGAGCTCCCTATCGGGCCACGGAGCGTGTGAGGGGTGTGACGAAATGTGTGCGGCGGGCGCACGCGATCGTTGTCACAGAGGCCTCCGGTTGAGTTCCCTACTTGGCTACGAAACATGTGATGGGGTGTGCCGAAATGGGTGCAGCGAGCGCCTGCGAACGCTAGCATTTGGGCCTTCGCGGGGCTCCCTATGGGGCCACGAAACGTGTGAGGGGTGTGCCGAAACAAAGACATGCGGACGTTAGAGGCAAGGATAGGAGGACGGAGGAGGGGAAGGAGGAGGAGAGGAGAGGAGGGACGGGGGCGCTGTCTCTTCAAAACGAGGGCCCAACACCATATGATTGTTGGGATAAACAACGCGGGCAGATGGATGATCTTGCTTCCCCCAGGCAAGTCGCTGGCAGCCAGCAGTGTGATGTCGACAAACCGGGAGCCAGCATAGCAGCTAGCAGTAATTGTGCCCTAACTTTGCCAGTGCGGCTGCTGTGTGGAGCGGGCAGTCCTGGGTGGCTCCACCCTTCCCCTGAGGGTGCCTGGAGCGTGCGAGGGAAACACCACATCATTTGGGCCAGCTGGCAAAGTCAAGGGAGCCGTTAGTCGAGGCGGTCATAAAGCAGGATGAGCAGTGTTGTGAATCCTCGGTCCTAATATGAGGAGTGCACCGAAATGTGTCCTGGGCTGCATGTGAGCACTGCCACTGGGGCCTTCGGTGGAGCTCCCTATGGCGCCACGAAGCGCTTGAGTGGTGCGCCGAAACGAGGGCGTTGCCTCATGTGAGCACTGCCGCTGGGACCTTCGGTGGAGCCGCCTCTGGGGCCACGACACGTGTAAAGGGCGCGCCGAAACGGGTGCGGGGCCGCATGTAAGCACTGCCGCTAGGGCCTTCCGTGGAACCCCCTATGGGGCTAGGAAGCGTGTGAGGGATGCGCCGGCACGGGTGCGGGGCCTCATGTGAGCACTGCCACGGTGCTCTGCGGTGGAGCTCCCTATGGGGCCACGGAGCGTGTGAGGGGTGCGCCGCAATGCGGTGGAGCTCCCTATGGGGCCACGGAGCGTGCAAGAGGCGCGTCGCAATGGGTGCGGAGCCGCATGTGAGCACCGCCACTGGGGCCGGGGCCTTCGGTGGAGCTCCCTATGGGAACACGAAGCGCGTGAGGTGTGCGCCGAAAAGGGTGTGGTGGGCCGCATGTGAGCACTACTGCTGGGGCCTTCGGTGGAGCTCCGTGCGGAGCCACGAAAAGCGTGAGGTGCGCGCCGAAACGGGTGCGGTGCCGCATGTGATCACTACCGCTGGGGCCTTTGGTGGAGCTCCATACGGGGCCACGAACCGCATGAGGGGGTGCACCGAAAAGGGTGCGGGGCTGCATGCAAGCACTGCCGTTGTGGCCTTCGGTGGAGCTCCGTACGGGGCCACGAAACGCTTGAGGGGCGCGCCGAAACGGGTGCTGTGCCAGATGTGAACACTGCCGCTGGGGCCTTCGGTGGAGCTCCTTATGGGGCCACGGAACGTGTGAGGGATGCCGGTGGGAGGAGGGAGGAGGGGGCGGCGGGAGGCAGAAGTGGATGAAGGAAGGTGAGGTGGATCGCGGTGCTGTCTGTCGACGACGAAATCTAATACCACAGGATGCTTCGGGGGAAATGAAAACATCGGAGGCCTTCCTCCCCGTTGTGCCCTTCGGTCTGCTGCTCCTTGGGCTGCGCTCTCTGGCGCGCTAGCGCGCGCTTTTTCGGAGGCCCGCGAAAACGGGCTCGCGGGCGCCCCTGCGCGGTGCGGTCCGCGCGGCGCCCAGGCGGCCGGAGGGCGCCCAGGCCCAGACGACGCGCCCTCCTGGGCCGAAGAAGCGGGGAAAGGACGAGGGGTACAAGAGAGAGGGAGGCAGAGATGAAGAGAGAGAGAGGGAGAGAGGGAGAAAGGGAGAGAGAGAGAGCGAGAGACACACACAGAACGCGAGAGAGAGAGAGAGACGCAGACAGAGAGCCAGAGAGCGAAAAGCAGAGGCACAGGAAGAGGGAGAGAGAGAGGATGCTCAATGTGTGTATACAGAAGGGTTCAGAGAAAGACAGAGAGCGAGAGAGAGAGAGATAACCAAAGAGCAAGCCACTTCACTTTGAACTTCTAACGTACAAAGAGATGCTATAGACAGGGAGAGGGAGAGGGAGAACGAGAGAGAGAGAGAGAGAGAGCGGTAGACAAAAAACGAAAGGAATGGGAAGTACAGGGAGGCATCCATATTTATTTGGGTATATACACATACATAGACAAACAGGGGGCAACAGAAATGGATACAGAGAAGGAGAGAGAGAGAGAGGGAGAGAGAGAGAGAGAGGGAGAGATACCGAGAGAGAGAGAGAGGCAGACAGACAACTGTACAGACATACCAAAGTATGTGTATACTCGTTGGTACATGTACTTCACATGCTGCTTTATGACAACATATAGAGAGCATGCCACAGCACACTTACCGAAATTATGGTCGAGCATCGTAGACCAGCGAGCAAAACCAGTCAATGCCAAATAACTCGACGCGGACATCGCCATGTGTGCATCTCATTGCTGGCACTTCCCCCTGAGAGCATCTAAGCGCGAACGAGATTCTTAAGGTTCCTTCTGCTCCTCCTCGGCATGTCTTCCTCCGCCTCCTGCTCCTCCTCCTCCTCCGCCTCCTCCTCGTCGTCCTCCTCCTCCTCCTCCTTCTCCTCCTCCTCTTCCTCCTCCTCCTCCTCGTGGAGGCCTCTCGCACCGAGGAAACAACCAACGTCGCCGAAAACGGCAAGGTGCCGCACTCCCCCAAATAACGGGTTGCACGCTACGCGCGCTTTCCGTTATCCTTTAGCTACACGCATCAGGTAATGTCGTTGCGATGCTAAGCTTGAACTGAACCGAACTAGTGCGCTGAACTGGACAGCGCGAACCGGGACTTGGCGAATCTGAATCTGAAACCAACCTATACATCAGAAGCTAAACCTAAAACATGCAGAGGAGGGGGCAGACACGTGGGAGAAACTGCTATCTGTGTCCTGGCACTTTTCGTCCGCTCGATCACTCCTCGAGTGTCCAAGCTCTCCGTGGATAAGCTAATCTTCGTGACGCACAAGTGCCGCTTGGTCAGCAAAGGGCCTGCGTCAAAACGCCGTTGCGTTTCTCAGCGGCCTGCGTGTCGCAGCAGCCTGGCCCCGGGGCCTTCTGGCCGAGGGGCAGGTGGGGGCAGCGGGCCACTTTGTCCGCGACTTAAAATCGTGAGCTCTGTGGTGTCCAGCAGCGGTTACTGTTCAAGGCGCTCGGCCGGCTGAAAGTCCCGGGGTGGCCCCGGGGGGAGCTTGGGCACGGGGAGGGAGTCGGGGCCATGGGGGGGGTAATTACAAGGAGGGAAGGGGCGAGGAAGACGTACGTTTTTGTTCTCTGCCTTATCACCGCGCGATAGAAGCATCACTCGGCACTTCAAAGGTGGGGCTCTGAGACATGGGGCCCTAGGGCGAGGAAGCCTTGAACCGAGCAGATTCAATCTGGAATCCCTCTCCTATCATCGGGGACCCATCACTCACAGGGCCCTATCTTCGAACCGCCCAGCGCCCCTTCCAGCTGTCACTCACGAGGCTCTGTGCTGCACAGGGCAACTCCGAGGGCGGGGGAGGAAGAAGGTAGCCGCTAGCCCAAACATGCGATGTCCGGAGTCTTTCAATACGGGGCCCCCAGAAGTCCCGACACCTTCTCCGGGGCTGGTTTTTCATCTGGGGCCGTTTTAAGACGGTCCCGGGGCCCGGCGAAAACCTCTGCAGGCCGAAAATCAAAGAAACCAGCCGCCCTGATCTTTTCACGACGCGAGCATGTCTGGGCGGGGGAGGATGCGGATGAGGGGGAGGGGGGTATGGTTGGATAGGGGCTGATATGGGTTTCCGACGCCGACAACGAGGCCACCGCAGAACAATTGAATGCCTCTGCGTGGAACAGGAAAGTGAAGAGGAATATTGGGAGGAGGAGGAAGAGGAAGAGGAAGAGGATCAATGCAAACCTGAGACGCATCAGTGATGTTGCAAGAAGCCCTCCGTCCAAATCTCCTCATCACATGTCCCTGCAATAACTGATTTTCACTGCAGTGAATGCACCATTGGAAGACAGCCGTCCGAGAATAACCCATCTTGTTCAAAACGCAATTATTGGGACTTTAACGGCGCCAATCAGCGCGATCAGCACGTCCTGGCAATCCCAAATAATGCCAAAACGACACTCCTGAATTTCATTTCAGCGATCCAACGTGACTTGGACGTCGTGGCAATCCTAAATCGCGTCAGGATACCATTTGTGGCACTCCAACCATACGAACTCTTGAAACTGCTGTACGCTGTTTAAAACGAATGCGCGCGGCGCCAAGGCGAAAGCCACATTTCGAGCATGAACCGCCCTCCATCCTTGAACCTGCGGCAAGCTTTACATATGAATGTGCGCAGTGCTTAATTAAGCGAGAGCAACACCTCTGGAAAAAACCGAGCCGATCTCCATGCTTGATGCTTGTAAGAACTTTTAGAGCGAATGTGCGCGGCGCTTGAGCGAAAACCATATGCTGAAAACCACCCACCCTCCATCCTTGAAGCTGCTGCAAACTTTTAAAAGGGATGTGCGCGGCGCTGAGGCGAGAGCCACGGTTTCAAAACGCGCCGCCCTGCATCCGTGCAACTGTTGCACTTGGGGCCAGGGGTGGTCCCCCTGGTTGCGTGCCCCCCCCCTCTCGCTCGAGACAGCCCCTCCCTAGCTCGGGGAGGCACCGTGGACCTCCTCGCTGGAAGTGCCCCCCCTGGTGGTGGTGTCGCTCCTCCTGCCCCGAAAGAAGCGGGGGGCGGCGCGAAAACCCCAGCGGCAGGGGGTCCAGTGCCTCTCCCTGGGGGGAGGTCCGATGGCCTCGGTCCTCTCGCTGGAACCCCCCCTGGAATTCCAGTCGGCCAACTCCTGGCAGAGGTCGGTGCCACCTGATCTGGCCCTTGCGGCGGGCGAGGGGAGGGGAGGGGAGGTCAGGCGTTGCTTAATGGGGGGCCAGGAATGGGGGGGGGGAGAAGCGTGCACCTTTCGCGCCCCTGTTGGGCCCCAGGGGGCCCCTTCAGGACCCCTGCAGGGAGCAAAAGGTGCACACCTCTCGTCACACCCCCGACGATCGCCCTCCCAGTACGCAACGCCCGAGGAGGGGGGTGGAACGGGAGCCCGCGCGCAACCGGAGCCAGCGAGCTCGGGACCTCGCAGGTTCGCGAGGTCGGGAAGCTGCCGGCGGCGGGTGCGCCGCTGGCACCCTTCGCGCGGCCCGCAGGCGGGGTCGGCAGCCCGCAGTCCTTGAGGCCGCGGGGCAGCAGGCATAAAGTACCACATGCAGGGAGCATCTGGTAGCCTCAAGATGAGATGCCAAAATGCACATGTGGTTTTCAAATGCAACTTGGCCCCATTGTCCAGAGCAGCTTGTATCTAGGTCTAGACGTGATACACGGAGCCCACCGCGCGGAATGCAGCGGCGAAAGCACAGGATACCAAATCCCACCAGCCCTCTGGGCGTCGGTGGTTTAGGGCGTTTCCTCTTCCACCCCTCCCTCTTCCCCTTCGGGGAGGGGTTTACCCCTCCCCCTACCCCCTCCCCACTGACCTGGACAGGAGGGGCGGGGAGCGGCCAGAGCGTCCAAAACGGCCTCGGCGAGGAAACCAAAATCATTGATTTTACAATGGTTTGGGCCCCATTTGGGCCTTTTGAGGGGGCAGCGCTAATTAAAGCTCCCCTCTTCTTTGATCGATTTCCTCCACGATGGCCGCAAGAGGCCCCCAGGATGCCCCAAGAGGCCGCAGGATGGCCCCAAAATGGCCCCAAGAGGCCCCCCAAGAGGCCCCCAGGAGGCCCCCACGGAGAGCCCAAAATGACCTCCAAGATGGCTCAAGAAATCCCAAGATGTCTCATATTGGCTTCCTCTGTGTGCTGTCCACTTCCCTGATCGAGGCAATCCCACCAGCCCTTTGGGCGCTGGTGGTTTAAAGCGTTTCCTCTTCCACCTCTCCCTCTTTCCCTTCGGGGAGGGGTTTACCCCTTCCCCTACCCCCTCCCCGTGGACCTGGACGAGAGGGGCCGCGAGCGGTCAGAGCGTCCAAAACGGCCTCGGCGGGGAAGCCACAATCATGGATTTTATTGAAATGTTGGCCCCATTTTGGCCTCCTGAGGGGGCAAATATGGTCCCAAAAAGCGCCCAGGAGGCCCCCAAAGGCCCCAAGATGGCCCCAAGAGGCCCCAAGAGGCCCCCAGGAGGCCCCAAAGAGGATCCCGAACGGCCCACAAAGGCCCCCCCGAGACACCCAAGACGCCGCACAGCCCCTCAGGACGACCCTCTACTCGCCTGGGCGTCGTTTCTGGACGGGCTGGTGGGGATTTTTTTTTTTGTTTTTTACAGCCGCGGGCGGAAGCGCCAGCGGCGACGAGTAACGGTCGGGCTGCGGCCGATACTAATTGGCCGAAGAGCTGGTGGCAATACAAACTACCGACGGCTAACGCTTGCGACTAGGCGGCCGCGGCGGCGCCGGATGCAGCAAGCAGCAAGCAGCAACTGCGGCGAGGGTGAGGCTGATCCCAGGGAGAGCTGAACCCAGGGCAGAGCTGCAAGGTGACCCAGGGACACCCAGGAAACACCAAATTAGCCAAACCTGACACGCGCTGCCAAAATGGCGCGGATCTGAAGAGGCGCCAGCCGAAGCGTCGCACACCGACAGATCAAGTAATGACCGCTCAAAGGTAGGTAGATCTGCGTCCCATGAGCAATCATGTGTACCGTGGTCCATGCATAACATAGCAAGACCTGTGAATACATAGCAATGCAACCGAGCAGGATGGACCACACCCAATGCCAAAGATGTACCCAGGGTGCACGTGCGCAGCCAATGGCGAGTGGCACCGGGACAATGAAGGCGGCGCCAGCGGATGCGATGCACGAGCTGGTGGGGATACTTTTTTTTACAGCCGCAGGCGGAAGCGCCAGCGGCGGGAGGTCGCGGGCGGGCTACGGCCGCGACTGAATTGCCGAGCGCGCGCGGGGGCCGCGGATCAGGCGGCGGGGGAGGGGCAGCGCCCAGGGCGGCAGAGCCGACGTGCAATCCAGGAAGACTGAGACAGCCCCTGAACGGGCATGCAAAGGTGCATCCAGGGAGCCTGAGGACAGACACCGAGGAGACCAAGCGCAGCCAAAATGGCGCGAGAGGCGTTCCCAGAGGTCCAGATGCGAACAGAAGGAACGTTCCGAGGACACCGATCCAGGGAGCCAGACGGGTAACACAGACTGACTGGGGACGTAAGTCCAGCGGAAAATCCTGACGGCGACTCCAAGTCGCGGCGCCAGAACGCGCACCCAGGGTGTGGAGCATGATGACAAGAGAACCTTCCACAACTGAGATGCGCCAGCCCAGATCCATCAAGTGGAGGGGCGCGGTAGTGCACGATACACGGTCGCGTAACGTGTGCACATCCAAAGTGACTCAGCGCTACCCAAACCGAGTCGGACAGCACGCGAGGGACGAGTCCGTCATATAACCAAGACGCATCCCTCAGAGCCACTACGATCCAGGGTCACGGCGGAAGGCCGTTCAGCATTTAAGAGTTCCCGAGGAAATCGATCCAGGGAGCCTGACGGGTAACACAGACTGACTGGGGACATAAGTCCAGCGGAAAAAGCTGGTGGGGATACGCGAAGCGTCTAGAATTGCAAATGTATGCTTTTTTGTGTCATGCGAGGTTCATGCAAGATGAGAAATTCACCACCGTCCTCTTGGTCCCTCCAATGTGGCTCGGGTTGGTGCGGCGTGAAGGGATGCCAAGGACATGCTGCGTCAACGCTGCAATCTGCAGCATGTGTGTGCGAAGGGGGGGGTGCGGGGGTAGGGCGCGGAGAAGCGCGAACGCAAAGTCAGATGAGGCAGCTGTCGTGCAGTGCATGGTGGGAGAGCGTGCTTCCATCACGCAGGATTGCAACATTTAGGGGAACACACGATGACATGAACATGAAAACTCTGAGGTCTGCGCGGATTCCTCGGGTCGGCGCTTGACCGCCCTCCCTGGCGCGCGGAGCGCGTCATGGGCTGCGCCAGAGGCGCCACCAAAGAAGGCCCAGCGCCGATCCGAGAAATCCGCGCGGAGTTCCGAACGTTCATGTTTTTGCATGTTCTACTTCTTAGACTCTCCCATCACCTTCAGCCTGTTCGATCCTACGAACACCTCGACCCTCGATCCTGGCATCCTCGGTCCTGGCATCCTCGATCCTCGAACTTTGAATCACGCAGGATTGCAACAGTGCAGGGGCTACCTCAACAGGAGGGTCCCACCCTGCACGTCTGCCAACGGGGACTCATGAGTGCCGCTGGGAGTGCGTCTACTCGCTGGCCCCGGCTGGTGGTCCAGGCCTCTTGGCACCCTCGCTGGCGCCGCGAGGGAAAAGGACAACACAGCTGCTGCCTCGGTACTAGGGGAACAAACAATGATATGAACATGAAAACTCGGAGGTCCGCGTGGATTTCTCGGATCGGCGCTGGACCCCCTCCCTGGCACGCGGAGCGCGCCATGGGCGGCGTCGGAGGCGCCGCTGGGGGGCTCCAGCGCCGATCCGAGGAATCCGCGCGGACCTCCGATTTTTATGCTTATGTCATTGTTCGTTCCCCTACCTTCGGCAGGTCCCAATACAAGGGAGGCTGGGGAAGGACACCCTCCTCCTGGAGAACCTGCTTAGGCCTCGCTCTTCGAGCCGGTCGGAGACGTTGTTGACTTGGAGGCTGGCAGCTCTTCGTCGGCCGAACTCATGCCAACACTAATTGGCATGCCCATCATTCTTTTGGTGCAGCCTGGCTAGCTCAACCAAGGTGCCCTTACTGAACTGCTGCTGGTCGTGTCCCTGTCAGCTCGGCCACCTTTTTGGTCATCCGTATGCTGATACAAATGCACCCGCCAGGTTTGAGGATCGCGCCTCGCTGGCCTCCGATTGCGACACGAAGGTCGCGTGCAGTGGGAAGAGAGCAGAAGGGTGGCAAAACACGCCAAGGAGGGAGCAGACTGGCTGGGCGCCTCTGACCAGGGACTGCCCACATTATCTTGAGCATCCACAGGGAGCCCTCAGCGTAGATAGCTCAGCGGATCAGCTCTTCGCGAGCCCTTTATAGTCCCCTTCGGGGAGGGGTATACCCCTCCCCTGGACGGAGGGGCCCGCGAGGTGTCATAGCGTCCTGTGTGCCCCTGGATGGCTCAAGATAGACCCATACTATCCAAGATAGCCTCTAAGATAGTGTAAGATGGTCCATCCTGGTTAAAAGTGGCCTTCAACTTACCTCCAAGTGGCCCAGGCCCGCCACAAGACGGCTCGAGGTTGCCACGAAGTGTCTCATGGATGTCCTTGAGATGCCCCAAATCGGGAAGATGTCACTAGCTGGTGAATGGTATTGCCGTGTCGCTTCCACTGGGCTTCTGGGTCCTCTAGAAGGCCTCATATCACCCAGTAAATTTCCAAGAGAAACCTAGAAAAATTACCGAGTACCCCAAGAGAGTCCCAATACGACTCTGGGACACGTGTTTTGGGATCAGAGGGGGCGGCTTAATTTAATGTGCTCTGTCTGTCTGTCTCTCTCTCTCTCTCTCTCTCTCCCTCTTGTTGCCGATGGCCGCCAAGATGGCTGCAAGAGGGCCCAGCAGACCCCCCAAAGAGCCCCGAGAGAGAGAGAGGGATACATATATATATATATATATATAGATAGAGAGAGAGAGAGAGAGAGAGAGAGAGAGAGAGAGAGAGAGACAGAGGGCCCAACAGGCTCCGAACATGGCCCTAAAACCGCCACAATCTGGCTCCATCTCTTCCGCTGCTGCGCCTGCAGCTCCATAACTGCGACAGATTTATCACTCGGGCTCCAAAGCGGGGAGATGATAGCGAAAGCCAGCAGTGGGCGAAAGAAAAGGGGCCACTGGGAACCGCGTGCATATATATATATATATATATATATATATATATACATACATAAACAACACAAAGGTATGTATGTGGGACCTGTCCCACGGGGCTTCGCAGAAACGCCACCTGTTCCCTGGGTATGTATAACTTTCCAGCCTGTTCTCGGGGCGACAGGTGTTGAACATAATACCCATATCTAGATCTTTATATGTGTGTATACCTATAATCTGTGTGTTGAGCCGCCACTTCCCACCAAGCAGGGACCAGCATAACATAGTATATTGTATTTTGGCTGTTTTCCTGGTCCCGAGTGGCCCTGCGGGCGAGACAGACGTCGTAGTGCGACCGCGGTAGACCTACATTGCTACTGCACGCCC